AATAAGGGGAGAAATATTTGCAACATTTGCAACTGCCAAAGGTTTCACATTCAGCACATGTAACAAATTTCTTCAAACAAAAATAAAATTAAAAGACGATCTTAAAAAAAAAAAAAAAAAAGACGATCTAATAGAAAAAAATAGGGCAGCCCGGGTGGCTTAGCGGTTTAGCGCCGCCTTCAGCCCAGGGCGTGATCCTGGGGACCCCGGATTGAGTCCCACGTCGGGATCCCTGCATCGAGCCTGCTTCTCCCTCTGCCTGTGTCGCTGCCTCTCTCTCTCTCTGTCTTTAATAAATAAATAAAATCTTAAAAAAATAAAAAAAAATAGGCAAGAAACAGGAGCAGATCCCTGACACAAGGGTATATCCGAATGGCTAATAAACTTATGAAAAGGTTCTCAATGTCATTGTAACTGACGGGAATGTAAATTGTTATCACCACTTTGGAAAACAAGTTTGGCATTATTTACTTAAGCAAAATATGTCTGTCCCATGATCTAGTACTTACACTTCTGGGTATGTACTTGGGAGAAATATGTGCACCTAGGCAAGAGACATGAGCTAGAATGTTCCAAGAAGCACTACCTGCTAATAGCTCCAAACTGGAGACAATCTAATTTTAGTATATGTGCTGCCGAAGCGAGCACAACTGGAGACAATCTAAATGTCATCAAAATGGAATGTATAAAGGAATTGTAGCATTGTCATATAATGGATAACTTTACAGTGCTGCACTAAAGCTTTAATGTAGTAACACACATTTCTCAGCATAATGTTGAGTAAAAGAAGCCAGATACAATGGAAGTCCTTCAGTGGAAGGACTGACTTGGGGGAGAAAAAAGGGGGCAAGAAGACAGCTTCTGTAGGACTAGCATTGTTCTATTTCTTGTCTTGGACGATGTTTGCTAATGCATTCTCTTAGTGAAAACTCACTGAGCTATAACCTCTGTCTTGGTGCATTTTTGTGTTTGCATATTATACTTAACTATTACAAAAAAAAATTTAAGTGCATGGACCACTTCTCCAGAAATATTTCTGGAAGAACTGGAGGAAGATCTGATGAAACAGGATTCCATAACATTTAACTATTTGATATTATTTAGATTTGAGCAGAGAGCGTAATGTAAACACTGTTAGTGGTCCCAACTATCCACAATGAATGTCAGAGTAGACTAAAAGGATTTCAGAAACCTCCTAAATATTAGATGCTTATTATCTCCCCAGGACTCTCTCCTTTTCTCCTTCTTCCCCAACCACCACCTACCCTCTAATCTTCAGACGTACTTTCAGAACCTCTGTATATTTTGAACCTACCCCTGGGAGGTCCGGGGAAGGGCATCTGTTCCCATTCACGATGTACTTTATGAAATGGAAACACATCAAAGTTGCACTTTTCATAAATTAATAATTATACATCTTCATATATGCATTATTTTACAGTTCACCCTGTAACTGTTTTTGCTTTATTTTTTTAAATGCAGAGGCATATAAGGAAGTCATTATGAACGCAGACTTTGGAATTAGATTATCCAGGCTTCAGATCCCAGTTCTGTCGCTTATAAAGTGGGCAACCTGACCTACCATGTTTCCTCATTTTGTCATTTAGGGTAATGTGACTAATTCATAGAAATATTGTAAGGACCTAAGAAGGTGGTAAGTGTAAAATTCTTAGCATAGTACCTAACTCAAAGTAAGAATTCAGTAACTTCCCATGACAGTGATGATCATGATGATGTATCATTCCTGGAAGCTCTTTAGGAGTTCAGCTGGACTAGGAAAAGTTTGTATTTTTTGTTTGTAGTATTAGTGCTGGGATTGAGGGAGGAAGGTATTGGCCTACAGCCTTGCTGAACAGAAAGCTCAAAACCCATACATCAGACTCCACAAAATCAGGATCTCAGCAGGTAGTAAATCATGGCAAGAAAAATTGTCATCTAGACATTTCTCCAAAGAAGACATACAGATAGCTATCAGACACATGAAGAGATAGATGTTCAATATCATTTGTTATCAGGGAAATGCAAATCAAAACCACAATGAGATATCACCTCATACCTGTTGGAATGGCTAAGTTCAAAAACACAAGAAACAACAAGTGTTGGTGAGGATGTGAAGTAAAAGGAACCCTCTAGCACTGTTGAATGGGAATGTAAACTGGCGCAGCCACTGTGGAAGACAGTATGGAGTTTCCTCAGAAAGTTAAAAATAGAATTTACCCTACAATCCAATAATTATACTACTTGGCATTTGCAAAAAAATAAAAATAAAAAAACACTAATTAAAAGAGATACATGCACCTCTGTGCTTATAGCAGCATTATTTACAACAGCCAAATTATAGAAGCAGCCCAAGTGTCCATCAATAAATGAATAGATAAAGAAGATGTGGTGTATATAAACACAATGGAATATTATTTGGCCATTAAATAGAATGAAATGTTGCCATTTGCAACAACGTGGATGGATCTAGAGGATATAAGCTAAGTGAAATAAGTCAGTTAGAGAAAGACAAATACCATATGATTTCACTCATATGTAGAATTTAAGAAACAAAACAAATAAGCGAAGGAAGGAAGGAGAAAGAGACAAACTGAGAAACAGACTCTTTACTATAGAGAACAAACTGGTGGTCACCAGAGGGGAGGTGGGTGGGGGGATGGATGACATAGATAATGGAGATTAAGAGTACACTTATTATGATGATCACCGAGTAGTGCATAGAATTATTGAATCACTGTATTGTACACCTTGAAATAATATAACACCGTATATTACCTACACTGGAATTAAAATTTAAAACTTAGCTAAATAAATAAATAAATAAATAAGCACCAATCTTGGGGAAAAAAAAAGAAAGAAAGAAAAGTTGCAATCTTTATGACAGAAGAATATATCAGTTTGAATGTGTTGAGTCATTTCAAAAATCTCCTGAAGGATATACTAGGATTTATTTTGACTGGAAAGGTTTAGACTGGGAGGGAACCAGACTGCCTCTTGTTGAAGTTCACAGGGTGGGTGAGACAGTAGAATTTGAAGGTACAAAGGAAACTCCCTAAGGTGAGTTCCAGGGCACAGGTAAAAACAAAAGAAGTCATGACTCCACTCTTTAATTTAATGCATGGGAAACATCAACCGGACATGTAGCAATTTTTTAGGTCACACTCATCCTATGAGAACCACAGGCATCTGTTGAGGACAGAGTGGTGAATCTGTTAACATGTATGAGACCAGTGAAATTCTGACCTGCCATCTGACAAGTGCAAAGGGGAACATGCACTTAAGAAGGGTAGGGTATGAGGGAGGGCGAGCTATGTGCCTGTCTGCTTTAGCCCCTTTAGGTCCACAAATGGTTCCTATTTGAACAGCAGCACACATAAGCCCTAAAGTTTAGATACCAAAAATGGCCCCAAATACTTTTGCGGCAAGTATATGTCAAATTTAACTCACTAGACTTAACATGATAAGGATGAAGACTTACTAGTATAATTAACAGTCAGTAAGAACAACAGCAACTCACCACAATGCTGATGGTGCGCTGCTAAGATAGAGTGCTTCCTAAAATGTTCAGTCCTTCCGAAACCTTACTGAATCCGAAAGGCCCCAGCCGGGAAGAGAGAAATCATACCAGTTATTTTAACAGAAAGAATTTCCTATGTAGAATTGATGAAGCAGATGTTGGAGAACTAACAATGTAAAAGGGCAGTGGAAGTAACCAACTACAGAAAGCAACTCTCAGCCTCCAGGGCTGAAGGAACAAAGGGAAGCAGTGGGGGTTACATCCTGGCAGAGGAACCCAGGAAGCTGGAACTCGCCTCTGAGAATGGGCATGGCCAGCCCATTGCTGGTGTCTCTGAGGGGGCACAATGAGGCTGATTCTGGAAGGATGGAACCAGCTGCTCCTACCAGGGTGAGGAGACACTGTGGGACATCGCCAAGGAGGGCAGCAAATAGGAGGCCCAGGCCCCTCGCTTCTCCTCCGGCTACCGGCATTCCTCCAGTGCCCCCAATTGGTGGAACCTAAAGACCAGGCTGACAAACACCTGTTTCTAGAGGCCTAGGTCCTGGGTCCCAAGGCTGAGTCCCAGCCAAAGGGGGACGGGAGCTGGATTTATTCTGTTTCCAAGTCTTTCTGGGGAGAAGGAAGTAGCATAGTTCAGGGACTCTAAAAATCTAACCCTTCCTCTCCCTCCCTTCCCAGCAAAAAGACGTCTTTCTTTTCAGTTACTCTAGGTTCTTTTGTTGAAGATGAAAGTCGTTGATGCACGTGTAGGGATCTGATTTTGCACACTCAGGTTATCTGTGAGGGAAAGAGGGGACACGTGCGGGGTGAATGGTTTATTTCTCTTTTTTAAGGCTGTGCCCAACCGTTACAACTCCCTCTCAAGGACCAGAGCCGAGACCGGTTGTCAGGTTTCCTTTATCCCATTGTAACTACTTTAGCACATTTCTTCATTTCCACCACCGCCATCGCGTTCGTTATGAAGAGCCTGGGACCTGGAAGCGAGCCTGGGTGGAAATCCTCAGGCCCCTGCGCACAAGCTCGGGGGTGGGGGTGGCCGGGGTGGGGGGGGTCTTCATCCAAGCAGATGCCCTGACTTCCTGAGTTCCCCTCCTCAGGATGGGGGTAACGCACAACGAACGGGATAACACCTGGCTGCCGCCGGGGAGGGCTGCGTGAACTCCAAAGCGGTGCATGGCACGGTGCCTGCCTGGCAGGACGCTGAGACATAAACACGCATCTCCTTCCGGCACTGATCTCTGACATTACAAAGTTGAGAGGAGTGACTCTCCGGTTCTGCCGCAATCCCAGACGCCCTTTCCCGTGGGCTCACCGGCTCTCGTCTCCCCAGGGGAGGTCTGACCGCCGGCGCCCTCGTGGTCGGGCCCTGGCCGCGGGCGCAGACTCGGCGAGCCGCGGGGCTGGGGACCAGAAATCGCGGGCGGCGGCGGCGGCGGCGGCGGCGGCGGGGGGCCGCGGGGGGCCGCGGGGGGGGCGGGGATGTGACCCGGGCCCGCCGCCCATGTGGGCCCGCCCACCCCCGGCGCCGGGGACCCACCGAGGGGTCCCGGTGCCCGGGCGCCAGGCCCTGCGGCTGCTGCTGCTGCTGCTGCTGCTCCTGCTCGCGGCCGCGCCGTCGGGACGCGCAGGTAGGAGGGTGGCGGCCGGGCCGCCAGATGCGGGCGGGGACGCTCCAGGCCGGGCCGCCGACTGCCCCCCGCGCCCCGGGGCGCTCCGCGCGCGGGTTTCGGGTTCGCTGGGCGGAGCGGGAGGCGCGGGGGTTGGCGCTGGGAGCCCCGGGAGAAACGCGGCTGCCACCCGCGCGCCTCGGCTCCCTGGTCAAGTGTGCAGGGCTGAGGGCCTCACACTTTCCATTGCGGGGGAGTGGGGCGCAGAGCGAGAGCAAGTGTGACGGTGGCGGCTCCGAGGGGAGCTTGCGGCCGGCGACAGTGACCGCGCGCAGCGCCCGCGCCCGCCTGCCCGCTGCGCGCCGAACTCCGGGCCCCCGCCCCGGGGCTCTGCTCGGAAAGAAGGAGCAGCGTCCTCCGGAGCACGTCACGGTTTTCCTTTGCAGTTACGACCGAGTGCAGAGAGGTGCTCTTTGGCTTTTTCGGAAGTAACAAAACTTTTACCTGACTTATGACCTAAGGTAACTGAAATTTGTTTTGCTGTGTTTTTAAGTTTAAATTCTACCAAATGGGGGATCCCTGGGTGGCGCAGCGGTTTGGCGCCTGCCTTTGGCCCAGGGCGCAATCCTGGAGACCCGGGATCGAATCCCACGTCGGGCTCCCGGTGCATGGAGCCTGCTTCTCCCTCTGCCTGTGTCTCTGCCTCTCTCTCTCTCTGTGTGTGACTATCATAAAATAAAAAATAAAATAAAAATTTTAAAAAAAGAATTTTAAAAAAATAAATAAATAAATTCTACCAAATGGAATCCAGTAAGCCAGGATGATTTGTTAACCTGATTTCTGTTTTTCTTCTGCATTTCTGGTATATGAGAAGAAGATTTAAGATTTTTAAGAAGCAAGATATCTGGGATTTTTTTTTTTTTTTTTAGATTAAAACCAGCAAAGCTTCCCAAATACTGTACTTTGTAGGTGGTTCGGGCTTTTGTGCCTTTTAACCCAGAGCTGATCAACAGTGAATGCAGGAAGAAAGTTGTCCTCCAAAGTGCAGTATTCTTTTTTTTTTTTCCAGTATTCTTAATAGTCCAAGAAAAAGTTCCATACAAAGTTTAAGTTCAATACAGTTATTATGGAAGCAACTCCAATGTCCATGATAGATGAATGAATAAAGAAGATGTGATACACATACACGCATGCACACATCACATACAGGAATATTACTCAGCCATAGAAAAGAATGGGATCTTGCCATTTGCAACAACATAGGTAGACCTAGAGAATATTATGCTAAGTGAAATAAGTCGGGCAGAAAAAAGACAAATACCATATGATTTCACTTATGCGTGGAATCTGAAAAACAAAACAAATGAATAAACAAAAAGCAGAAACAGTGAGACCAAACTGATGGTTGCTAGAGGGAAGGGAGGTGGAAAATGGGCAAAATAGGTGAAGGGGAGTGGGAGATACAGCTTCCAGTTATGGAGTGAATAAGTCACAGGAATAAAAGGTACAGCACAGGGAATATAGTCATTAGTATTATCATAGCTTTGTATAGTGATAGTAGCTATACATGTAAGCATGGCCTAATTACAGGTTGGTGGGATCACTATGTTGTATACCTGAAACTAATGTAACATTGTATGTCAACTACACTTCAATAAAAATACAGTAATAATAAGTTCAATACAGTCACAAAAGAGGTTTGCATATTGATGTTGGAGAGATTTTTGAACAATAGAAATACCCTCAAAATGTTTCTCTTCTAAATCCTAAATTTATCAAAACTTATAGTTATTTTATTTTATTCAATATTTATAAACTTATTTATAATATTATGTTATGTTATTTTATGATTTTAGATTGTTTTATGGTTGTTTCTACATATGCTGTATAGGAAGAGACTCTTCCTGGCTTATACAAATATTGAGCCTTCAACTAGCAGATACGAATTTGCTTGTTTCTATATTTAATCAAAGAGAGAAATAAGGCTTGCTCCAAAATTGCGTTGCGGGGCTGGCATTAGAAAGTAGTAATATTCTTGGTGTTAAAGCAAAATTTTTTTGGGTGGGGGGAACCCAGAAGAAATTCTTTTCTGATCCATAAGATCCAGGTACTTACTTAGCTCTTCCTTTTTTTTTTTTTTTTTAAGATTTTAGTAATTTTTTCACGAGACACACAGAGACACAGGCAGAGGGAGAAGCAGGCTCCCTGTGGGGAGCAGATGCAGAACTTGATCCCAGGATTCCAGGGTCACACCCTGAGCCAAAGGCCGATGCTCAACCACTGAGCACCCAAATGCCCCTCCTTAGCTCTTCTTAAGGCATTTATTTCTCTTCTGGGTCTTCAGACACCCTGAGGACTGCTGGAAAAATCAGGTTGGAAGCTACCTGGATGTCATACTTACCCCCGAATAGAGAGTGATTTCTATCCTGATGGATTAGCCACAATATCCGCTAAGCAATGTGCGCTTTCGAAGGGTTACATGACGCTGCCAGGCTGTCAATAGATCAGGCTGTATAAACCAAACATTCAAAGAGAAAGAAAAAAATGTCAACGTAGCATCAACATTCTAGGAAAATATTGATATTTAAATTCAGGTAATCTTTTAACAGAATTCAGAACATCTGTGATGTTCCCTCAAGGCAGGCATGACACCCATATCCATTCACTTTCACTCTATAAACTCTCCAGAGACAGAAGTTTTGCCAGCAAGTTTATCCCTGTCACATGTCATACTCTGCCCTGTGGGCCCATTCCATGCTTATTCTTCAATGGAGATAAGGAACTACGGTCAGCATTCTAAAACAAGCTTCCGGAGCCAATAAGAGAGAGCAGGAGAAGATGGCTTCCCAAGGTCATGTATCTCCTCTCCTCAAGCCCTCGAGAAGTATTCATTGCTATAGAATAATTCTGAACTCACCTACAAGGTTTTTTGTGGACCACTCCTCCATCTCTCAGCCTTACCTCACACCACTTACTTCCTGATCTACTGGCCTTTTTCCAGTTCCTAGAGCAAGCCAAACCATTTTTTCATCTCAGAGACAGAATACTTGCAGTTCCCTCTGCTAGAGTGCTCCTCCCCACTCTAGCCCCAGCTAACTCTAACTCCTGCTCATACTTGGCATCTTACCTCCAATATGCCTCCCTCAGGGAGATCTGCCCACAATCCTCAAAGAAAGACAAGAATATGGAGTTTATGTTTAGGAATAAATGAACCTAGCTTTAGTTTTGGAGCTTTTAGAATATAGCCAAATATTACTACTACATCTATGCTTGTTAGAACTAATTTACTATAATTAACACAGTGATGGTATTTGTTGAAGTGTCTCTTCTTTAATATCAACATAGCAGCATTTGGATATTCTCTTTCACTGAGAAGTTATTTGTACACACGGATGATTCCAGTGGACTAATTAAATTCCCTTCATTATTTTTTTTAACTTTTAATTTTGAAATAATTTGAGACTTACAGAAAAGTTTCAGAACCAGTAGGCTATCCATAAATCCCTTAGCTGGTTTCTCCCAAGTTTAACATCTTACATAACATTGTATGGTGTTCAAAACCAGGACACTAACATTGGTGTGATATATTCACTAAACTATAGACCTTGCTCAGATTTCAACCGTTTTTCCACTAAGGCTCTTTTTCTGTTCCAGGATCCCACTTTACATTTACCTGTCCTGTCTCCTTCATCTTCTCCAATCTATGACAGTTCCTCGGCCTGTTTTTGCTTTCATGGCACTTTGGAGTGTCATCTCTTCTTAGAATGTCCCTCAATTTGGGTTCATTTGATGTTTCTTCATGATTAAAGTGAGGTTATTCCTTTTGAGCAAATTATATTGTCTTTCTCAGGGCATCATAGCAAAGGATTTATGATATCAATATGTCTTCTTTGTGGCGATGTTAACCTTGATCACTTGGTGAAGGTGGTTTCTACAGGGACTTTCACTGTATAGTTACTATTACTTTGGAGCAGACATAAAATAATTTCTTGTACATTTGCATGGCTTCCACGTTTATCAGCTAGAGGTGCATCCCCAACCTGTCTAGGGAACATCATGTATCCCCAGATCCAAGCGTGTGGCTAGAGTATCACCAGCTTCATATCTTCAGAATGTGTGTGTACCTACTGCCTGTAACTATTTATTAAACTTCCTATAGGACAAACCCAGGAAAGACAGTATGCACTCTCAAAAGAACAACTAAGGGGATTTGTTACCTCGGTGAGGTGGCATGGATCAGGAACAATGTGGAAAGGCTGAGGAGTTACCTCAGTTCTCTGAGTGTACCTTTTTGTACAGCTCTGGCTGGTAGAGCCACACGTAGGACACATATTTCTCATTTAAGCATAAACTTTGGTCAAGGGACTAGGCAGATGGAATTATTAGTGTTTTAAGTATGTTAGGATAAGCAGTTCAACGTAAAACATTTTTGTAGTACTTTTTAAAAATATTTTTAAATTTATTTGAGAGAGAGCAGGAGTGGAGAGAGGAAGAGAGGGAGAAAGACAAGCTGACTCTGTGCTGAGCACGACGTGGGGCTCTGACATGGGGCTCGATTCCACGTCCCTGAGATCATAACCTGAGCCAAAATCAAGAGTCAGATGCTTAACTGACTGAGCCACCCAGATGCCCCTATAATATTTTAAATAAATAAAACTGCATATCTGTGTGTTGCCTTTGTTAGTGCTCAGCATAGTACTTTTCACAAAATATTACTCAGTAAATTTGTGATTTTTTGCTTAAAAGCACCTTTAATTTCATGCATGATATGTTTAAAATGATTTTCTATTTGCATCATTTTCTTCACTGAACAGTTTTACCAGGTATCATTGACACATTTATCTCCATGATGATTAAAAGAAAAAGACACCTTAGAATCAGCTACAGCTTAATGTAGCATACGTTTTAATGAATAAAATCATTTTATCCATCTTACTAACATTACACTTATGCTAGGATTATGATATTTTGAAAGCATTCTGATTTTTCTTGGTCCATATTTACGACTATTTGACACAAAA